GGGAAAGTGGGGGCAGTTTTAGATGCTGGGAAGGGTGGGGTTCAGAAAAGGCAAATTATGGAAGAAAGGAATGAAAGAGCATGCTCTAGGTTGGGTTATAAACCTCTAGGACAATCATGGAGCCAAAAGGCATTGGCACTAGGAGGAAGGTCTCTGAATTTACAATGGAAGATTACAAAATGCTGCATTTCACCCAGAGGATGCCTTCATACTTTCCCCACCCTTCAACAGGAGAGGCAGAACCTGCTACAGGTTGCATCTCCTTGCTACCCAGTTTCACCCAGAAAAGAGACTCTACTGGTCCCTGCTGAGGTCCCTTTTAAAGGGCTGTGTCCAGCAACACATGGGAGAAGTGCCTTGAGTGTGACCAACTCCTGTGCCTGAGGGTTAGCAACAATCCCTGCACTGCGGTGAATCCTCTGGAAAGGGAAGGGGTTGCAAAGTCACAGAGAGTTCTGCTCTGGAAAGGGCTCTGTCCTGTTGCACGGCTCTGGAGAGGACAGAGATCAATCACAGGAGTACCATGTTCAGCTCTGGGTCTTTATTAGCAGAAAATACGTTACAGAGAATGCAATGAAAGGAGGAAGGACAGGGGAAGCACCAGGCACACAGTGGTGCAGAGTTCAGGAGAGAGGCCGAGAAGCAAAACCTACCAAATTGGTGACAGTAGCAGCTCCTTGCACCCTGATGGGCACGAGAAAGCTTGGGACAGGAGTGATGTGGTGATGAGAAAAGGCAAGGTCAGGGTGGAGGGCAGGGATGCTTCACCAGCCATAAATGTCCTCTTTCCTGCAACTTCAGAGCCTCGCATCCCACGACCCTGGGACCAGGGGGGAGGATGAAGCTGGGAGGTGGCCAAGGACAGTCCCTGGGTGGAATTTGGAGCCAGTTGTCTTGGGGAGGGCACCTATTGTGAAGGCACTGCTTCTCCTCCTGGGAGCCCTGGCTGCTTTTAGAGAATGATGGGGAATGCACAGGCTGATGCAAAAATTGTCTCCTTATAGGTTCCCCTGCATCAGGACTGGCCTGTGCTTGAGGTGTTTCCTCTGAGCCTCTCCCCACCATCAAACCTTGGGGGCCAGCCTCTGGGTCCTTTCCATTCTGCTTTTGGGCCTCGTTGTGGCATTAATCAATATATGCTGCTCACACAAAGGCTTTGCAAAAGTACAGGCCAAAGTAGGCCTCCCCCAGCAAACCTAACCGACGCATGAACTCCTCACATAAATAAAAGTGGCAGATGGGCAGGATGTGCACTCCTGCCAAAAGGTGGGAATGGGAGATGATGGTATATGGTAAGATAGTCCAGTATGAGGATAAGGCTGGGCCAGGAGCACCGGGAATGGGAACACAGGTCAGAACGTGAAATAAGCCCACAGTACAGGACAGTTTAAGACATTCACAATACAGATGGAATGCAATATGTAATTTGTTTTAATCATTATATAAAAGGAGAGTCGGAAAGCAGGAAAATTTGCAGCAGCCTAGGAGAGTCTGTGTGGTGTGCTGGGTCACAGGTACAAATGCCTTGGCTCCTGGTTTGATGTACTTGCTAGGACAAAATGAGTTAGGGCTCTGTTTCTAGAGAATAAACCTAGCCGAGCTGAGCCTGTGGTTGCTCTTTAAGACAAGATTAGTATTGGGATATCCTGGCTGTGACTTTGAGAGCACCACAGTTCCTGAGACTTCACCCCTGATAGCACGTCAAGAACACCTGACAAGGACAACAGCAACCATGACACTGATCATAGAACCATAGACAATGAGGGTGGGAAAGGACCTCAGGAGGTCACATCTAGTCCAACCCCCTGCTCAAAGCAGGACCAGCCCCAACTACATCATTCAAGCCAAGGCTTTGTCAAGCCAGGCCTTAAAAACCTCCAAGGATGGAGCTTCCACCACCCCTCTAGGTAACCTATTCCAGTGCTTCACCACCTTCCTAGTAAGAAAGTTTTTTCCTAATATCTAACCTAAACCTCCCTTGCTGCAACTTGAGATGACTGCTCCTTGTTCTGTCATCTGTCACCACTGAGAACAGTCCAGCTCCTGTCTAACAACCCCAGATGACACTATTATGCCCTACAAGGGCCAAAGGCTTGGTAAACTCTTTCTGCAGTATACCAGCATGAGGCTGCTTGCAGCCACTGGTGGGTGGTGAGCAAAGCAGACATCCCCAAGCCCTTCGTGTATTGCTGCCAGAATTATGGATGCTCTCATGTGTGGATGCGTCGGTGCCGGGTCAGGCTGGAGGAGTGGATGAAGCTTTTCCCACACACAGCGCACTGATGTGGCTTTTCCCCTGTATGGATGCGCTGGTGCAGGGCCAGGGTGGAGGACTGGGTGAAGCTCTTCCCACACACAGAGCACTGATGTGGATTTTCCTGCCTGTGAATGCGCTGGTGCTCAGCCAGGCGGGAGAAGCGGGTAAAGCTTTTTCCACACTCCAAGCACTGATGTGGCTTCTCCCCTGTGTGGATAAACTGGTGCCGGGCCAGGCTGGAGGAGGAGGTGAAGCTTTTTACACACTCAGAGCACTGATGTGGCTTCTCCCCTGTGTGGATGCGCAGGTGCTGGGCCAGGCCAGAGGAGTAGGTGAAGCTCTTCCCACATTCAGGGCACTGATGTGGCCTCTCCCCTCTGTGGATGCGCTGGTGCTGGGACAGGTGGGAGGAGCGGGTGAATCTCTTCCCACACTCAGAGCACCGATGTGGCTTCTCCCCTCTGTGGATGCGCTGGTGCTGGGCAAGGTTGAAAGACTGGGTGAAACTCTTCCCACACTCAGAGCACTGATGTGGCTTCTCCCTTGTGTGCATGCACTTGTGTCTGGCCAGGTTGGAGGGATGATCCACAATTTTTTCCCTGCACCCAGGGCTCTTTTTGGGGTCTGTCCCTTTTCCACTCTCACATCCAACTTCAGATGGTGCCTGATTAACTGCTACATTTTCTTTTTCCTTTTGAGGCCTCCCCTGACTCTGGTGCCATTTGTCCTTCTCAGGTCTTAGGGAGTCCATCTTCCCCAAACCCCCTGGGGAAGTCCATGGTGGCTCCAGGTCTGCAGGCCCTCCCGCAGGAGTCTGCTCCTCAGCTCCGCTCAGCAGCCAGGCACCTCCTGTGTGGGGAAGAGAAACTTCAGATTAGTCTGTGCCCTGCTGGCAAAGGGCAAATATGGCTATTCCTTCTGCTGGGATGGGCCTCTGAGCAGGACTGGACCTTGGCACTTGTGTTCCCTCAAGAAAACAAGGTCTTTCTTCCAAAAGGTAAAGTGCTGGAGATGTGCGAGGGGCAGATCCCTGTGTGGGACTAATGTTCCCTACTCAGTGGCTTTCAGAGCCAGATTCTCAGGGTGTCTGGGCCAGCTGTCAGCTGCATTATTTCTCACCCTGCTGGGAGACACACATGGAATGTGTGTGTTAGGACAGCCCCTGAACAGCTTCATGATCTAATGAGCTGAGAAGGAGACCAGAGGTAACTGCTTAAAGGAAGAATGAGGTTCACTATGGGTTGCTCTACCCCACATCACTGGTGGGTCCAGGGGGAGATGATGCCCAATGCTCTACCTGGCTGGGCTGACATGTGCCAAAAGCCAAAGTGCATTGGTGAGACTGCTCTCCAGTGCTTGCTCTTGATCTCTGGCAGTCCAGAGACTAGCATCTGGTTACAAAGGTGAACAGCATCATAGGGGATTTCTAGGACTTGTCAGCAGGCAGGAGTGTGTGAGGAGCACTGCCTTCCACTGGACCAGCTGCCTTCCACTGGAGGTTGGGGGTCTTCAAGAGGAGGTTAGATAAGCATCTAGGTCTTCAAGAGGAGGTTAGATAGGTATCTAGCGGGGGTCATCTAGCCCCAGCCCTCTTTCCTGCCTATGCAGGGGGTCGGACTCGATGATCTATTGAGGTCCCTTCCGACCCTAACATCTGTGAATCTATGAGTGTCGCTTCTGCTTGGTAGGATGAGCCAACATGTTTCATTGCTCATCCCTGCATGAAATGTTCTGGGAGGGGAAGGCTTAGAGCTGTGGCTCTGTCTCATGAAAGGAGCAGGGCTGTGCTTCCTGCCTGCTTCCAGGGTGAGGTCTGGTGCAATGAATGAGCCCATGAAGCTTTCCTCTACTGAGGAGGCTCAGGTGGCCTCCACATCACAGAAATCTGCACCGGGACTAAGGCCCTACACATGGACTCTGTGCTGAGTCTGTCTCTCAGACACTCAGGGCTCCATGGAGGAAACAGAAAGGGGGTATTGATTTCCTCCACAACAGGAAAGCTTGTGAAACCCACCCACCCCATGAAGCCATTTAATGCAGTGTAAGACCATGATTAAAACCCTCCCGGGTTCCAGGTCAACCTGATCAGGAGACACCTGGGACAGCCCCAGCCTCTCTCTTGTCCAACAGTAAGGGCTACACAGAGATTTTGCATGCCATGCTGATTTCCATGGGGGACTACACATCCCATTATGCCCTGGGAGAGGGTGTGAAAGAGGTATGGCTACCTTGGGCTGCAGAATCAACTCCTACAATGGTGAGCGAAGATGGCAATTTAAGATCATGGTGTCTGAGGGAAACCAGATCTGTGCCTAAAAATCAAGACAGAAAATTGAATTGTCCCCTAACAGCTGTAATTGGGGGGATCTTGGATTCCAGCTTGGAATTTCAGAGATTGGGAACAACACCACACATTCATAGATTTCATAGACATTTGGGCTGGAAGGGACCCCGGAGGCTCATCGAGTCCAGCCCCTGCCCCAGGGGCAGGAAGTCAGCAGGGATAATAGGATCCCAGCAAGATAAACATCCAAAAGTGTCTTGAAGGCGTTCAAAGTGGGTGCTTGAACCACCTTCGGCGGCAGTCTATTCCAAACCTTGGGGGCTCGGACAGTAAAGAAGTTCTTCCTTATGTCCAGCCTGAAACAGTCGCAGAGGAGTTTGTGACCATTCGATTTTGTCATCCCTTTACAGCAGAAGGTATCTGAAGTCAGCACAGGGCAGGCTCCCTGTCAGCCTGGGGATGGAGCATTTCCGAGAGGGGAGCTGGGTGGAGGGGACGGCCACAACTCACCTGGCAGCAGGTCCTCCGACCTTGGGATTTCCCCACCGTCCTCATCCTCACACACCCAGAGCTCCACTTCTCCTTGCTGGATGCGGCAGATTAAGTCAGGCGTGGGACCTCGATATCCTGTTTGGGGCAGTGGTTAAAGAGGGTTTGTAACGGGGTACTGGATGCAAAATACCAACTGGGAGTTGGGGAATGGATCCAGGGATCTCGAGATTTCTATTAGGACCTTCGTGGAGAAGGGAGAATGGGCATTTAGGATGAAAGGAAGGCACCGCAGGGAGAAGCCTTCAGTAGATGGGCCTTGTTACCCAGGTGGTGGAGAGGCTCATAGGGAACAAAGCACGAATCACTCTGAAGTATCAAAAAAGTACAAAACTCACAGAGTCACAAAGGACAGGGGTGAGGATGCAGTGATCTGTGAGGTACTAGAAAGCAGAAAAGCTTTTGCTAGTTTTCAAGGTACCAAAATTAGGAGACACTGGACACACTTAGGGATAGATAGCATTTATCTTATCTGTGTAATTCCAGGCAAAGGAGTGGAAAGTCGCTTATTGTCAGTGAAGGTTTAAAGCGAGCACTCATGACACTGAAATGAATCCATGACAGATGGCTCTCAATGAAACTTTTTTTTCTGGAAGAGAGTGTAATTCCTCATCACCAGGGCACCAGAAAAAGATGATTTTATAAGAACTGCAGATGCAACTAAAGCAATCATCCCATCCAATGAGAGGATAATCCCAATGCAGAGGTGAGTGCAATGACTGGCAGATACCATAGGGTTTATGACAAAATTCATGGGAGTCATGGAGATGGAAAGAAGAAGAAAAGAGTGAGACACGTTTTACAGCACATGAAATCCCAGATTGTGGAACTGATCTACAGAGGTTCCCAAAACAAGGACAACCCTAGAATCACATCTAAAAGCCAGGGCCATTCCTGACCAATAAACTGCACCAGGACTAAAAATAGAGATATTACCGCAGAGAAAGTTTGATACCTTGTGAGAGCCTAGTGGCCCAACATAGCGTGCTCCTTGAAGACTTTGGGCTACTCCAAAATAAGAGAGAGAGAGAACTGGGGGAGACATGAAATGTTAGAAATTAGGTTGTAGGGAATGCCTGAGCTATGTAGAAAAGAAAAAAAAAAAAAACAGTCTTGTTATAATAATAAGGAACTTGATGCAAAAACACTTTGGGATACAGGGAAGGAGTTTGCACTTTTAGCTGCTGAAGTAGTATAGGTGAAACCCAGTCACATAAGGAAAACCAGGTGGAGAAATATATAGGTTTCATGAGGTATTGAAGGAAACAGAAGTTCTCAAGAATTTGCAAAGCTGGATTTGGACCATGTTTTATGGAGAAAAGATAAGAGCTGTATACAGGGGAGCAGTCAGAGAAGAAGCCCTGAATTACTTGCATGAGAAACTGAAACAGAGAGTAATGAGCAAACAATCACTAAGCTGGCTAAACTCCAGCATGCATAGAAAACGACTTGGATTCTGAACCCATTGCTGTTGGAGGTAGAAAAGAGGATGGACACATGGTCTCCAACAGGCCTCTCATGCCTGAAAGGCAGATTTTGATAATTTATTGAAAAGAGAGTTACTCAAAGAACACTTGCACCTTTTGACTCCGTCACTTAAAAGCTGGAATTCTTGGGGCAGCAAATTAGGGGAGCAGTAGTTAATTGAAAAAAAATAGTAGGTAAATGTGAGAATTGTATACCCAGGCTGTAAAAGATTCTAAAATGGTAGGAGAGTACCAGGATGGGAATTACTGTATTTCATCTAGAAAAGGAACAGGATAAGAGATTGGGGGTGAAAGGTGACTAATATAATATCACATTTCTTGTTCAGAGAGATAGGTAGTAAATACCAGTGTCCCAATGACTGGAGAACAGTTACTTAGCCACTCACTGAAGAAAGTAAGGAAAAAGTTACTGCAGCCAGAATTTAGGGGACCGCCAACATGAGGGATGACCAGCATGTTTTCAGAAGTGTGCAAAAGTTCGCTGATATTTTCAAGACAATTACAGAAAAAAAAGAATAAAAATTACAGAAAAATAAATCAAAATAATACATGTTTTTCGTTCAGCTAGAAAAAGCATTTGAGAGCTTCCCTAAGGAAGTCCTCTGGGGGAAAAGAAAGTACCAAAAAAACAAAATGACCCAGTCAAGCTAAGTACCTCCAACCAACACACAAGCCAGAACCAGTCCCTGTATTTGAAAACCTTTTTCAAGGTCCAAGTTTGCGGATGACACAAAGCTATGGGGAGATGTGGACATGCCGGAGGGCAGGGAACAGCTGCAAGCAGACCTGGACAGGTTGGACAAGTGGGCAGAAAACAACAGAATGCAGTTCAACAAGGAGAAATGCAAAGTGCTGCACCTAGGGAGGAAAAATGTCCACACACCTACAGCCTAGGGAATGACCTGCTGGGTGGCACGGAAGTGGAAAGGGATCTTGGAGTCCTAGTGGACTCCACGATGAACATGAGTCGGCAGTGTGACGAAGCCATCAGCAAAGCTAACTGCACTTTATCGTGCATCAGCAGATGCATGACGAACAGAGCCAAGGAGGTGATACTTCCCCTCTATCGGGCGCTGGTCAGACCGCAGTTGGAGTACTGCGTGCAGTTTTGGGCACCGCACTTCAAGAGGGATGCGGATAACCTGGAGAGAAGGGCCACTCGTATGGTTAAGGG